CCCCAAAACCCCAAAACCCCAAAACCCCAGTTTTAATTAGAGATATAGAAGATATAATAAAATGGAAATTACAATGCTCAATTACTCTTTTGTATTTAAGATAACTACTCTTTTCTCTGTGTTAATGTTAAAGACAATACTGTGTCAAGACAATTTTAAAAATATCCCAACTCCTGATTACATAAAAGTGGTTGAAGTTCCTGATCAAATTGATGAACCTTATCAACTTAACGATAGCATGAAGCTCAACCCCAATGACTTCGATGTTGTCATGTTTGAGACTCATACCAAGAGAGTCCTCCAGGCTTCCAACACCACCTCCACTGCTGCTGGTAACGGAACTGTCAACATCGAGCCTTTCAAAATGTACACAGTGACTGTGACTTCAAGAGCCTCGAACAGCGCTCTCAGAAACAACGGAGAAGACAAGTTCTACGTCCGGATCCAGAATGAGTGCACTTACTCCAACCAGACAACATGCACGGAAGTGGGCGGAGCCGCCAACACAGTGCCGACTCCATACGAAGGACTGATGACATACAATGGAGACTCCACTTACTCGTACAACTATACGCTCAGCGTGACTGGAAAGATATCCGTGACAGTATTTCTCAGGAACACTGGCAGAGTCATGGTTGAGTGGCACAGAAATCAATATCTCTCTAACTTTTATACTAACCAAGAAGTGACTTGGATAAGTAATAATTGGGGTTATGGTCAACCCTGTTGAGGAAGATCAGATTACGTAAGTGCAAAATATAGATCATACTTACGACCAAATATCTCAGGATCTTACTTATTCGATTTATACCAACTCAGACAGAGGAGCATCTTTTTATATCGAAGGAGTCAATAAATACAACTATTTTAACTCTGGAACAAATGGTCTTAGAGGGTTCACAATGACTTTGACTAAAGATACGAACTATTATATCGAAGTCTATTATCAAGAGTGGACAGGAAGTACCTATTTTTATGTTCAGTGGACTGTTCCAGGTACTTCAAGAGTTACTATTCCTTCAGTCAACTATGTTTGGCCTGAATTTGTTACAACTGCTCCCTTCACAATTGATATTGCCTGTCCATCTGGGTACACCCACACAAACACAGACCACCCAGACGAATGCTATCCCGTGTGTGGAGACAGCATGAGGGTCGGAACAGAAGTCTGCGATGATGGCAACACTCGCTCGAATGATGGATGTGCTGAAGACTGCCTCTCGGTAGAGACCAACTGCACATGAACAGGAGGTAGCGCCTCACAAGCCGACTATTGCTCTTGCCTGACCAGCTTCGTGAACGAAACAGTGGTTGAAGAATATTGTAAGTTATTTCTGACCTGTAGCCACTGCTTCCAAAGTGATGGTCTTTGCAGTCTTCGGAGTGTTCAGTAAGTCTGTGTGACAAGTATAGCCTCTGTGTCAGTCGCCGCCATCGTAGTTACCGTTATTGTGGAGTTGAGACAGCCAATTCAGTACTCACAGATCCAGCAGAGAAGCATTCGAGTCACACAGAAAGTCAAGGTAAGGATTTGGGTGACTGTAGGCGGATGCTCAGAAGAAGATCGAAGCAGAGAGAAGGAAGAGAAGTACCAGATACGAAGCTTAAGGAGACATTATCAAATGTTATAAGTTTCAAGGATAATATAATATCACGGGGTTTTGGGGTTTTGGGGTTTTGGGGTTTTGGGGTTTTGGGG